ATTCTTTTTTAAAATAAGCTATATCATATAAATTAAGATAGAAAAAATTATCATCTTTCCTTAAAACGCGTGGAAAGAAAAAAGCATAATGTAAAGAAAGTTGATATTCTGAATGGTACATTTCTTGACTTCACCCACCAATAAAGTTATTAAAAATAAAATAACCAATAATGTTGTCTCATCGTACTACTTTAAATCTTTTATCGTAAAGTACAAAATATACTAATAAATTGTTGCTATCCCGTCCCTCATTTTCTCCCTATAATTTTTTCATATATAATTGTATTACTTTAACTAATACTTGTATGGAGAAAATCTTGTTAGAAACGTCACCCCCAAATGGACCCTGCAGAGCGCGATTCAAGTTTAGTCGGAGCTCCAATGTGGGCTACGAACACTGGGTAAGAAACCAAAAAAAAAAAACTAGTTTCGTAGTGCTATTTTTAAAGAGTTACTTGACGATAAGAATTATATAAGGTAAAAACAATAGATAAACCATGTGATTAAAATAGGGAAAATTATGCAGATAAGTAAATATATACTAGTTAATTAACTAATATAGTTATAGTTTGAATTAATTATCACTTGCCGCCTTTTTTAGTTATAATTACATACACCTCTTTCACCTTTTTCCTCTCTTAAACATACAAATACAAATTATACATATACATATACAATTATATGACAGATATACAAATACAATTCGACTCTCTCCACTTTCTGCTCTCTCTCGCTCGCCTCTCTCCTCTTTCTCTCAATCTCGCTCGCATATCTCTTCCTTCTCCCACTCTCGCTCGCCTCTCTCCTCCTTCTCCCAATCTCGCTCGCATCTCTGTTCTTTCTCCCACTCTCGCTTGCCTCTCTCCTCCTTCTCCCAATCGCGCTCACCAGATATTCAAATACATACGTTTACCAGTTTAATATATATATATATAATTTGTAAAGACCTAATTCTGTCGTTAGCGGAAAGCCAAGGGGGGAAGAATTGGGGCCATAAAACTTTTTGGTAGTAACTTGGAATTTTCCAACCTAGTCCAGATTTGGAAGAAATCAGAGTCAGTAAAGTCTAGGGAAATCTGTTAACAATTGGGTGATCTAAATATGAATTTGTTTACATGAGTGGATAGCTAAGACGTTAAGGAACCCGTACAGTTTTACGGAATTGAATTCGGGTGAGTAGAACTCCCGAAACTGGTCTTAGCGTGAACGAGTAGTTTTTGAGTGTCGTTGATTGAAGGTGTGTTGTGAAATGGGGGTATTGGAATTATTAAATTAGCTTACTGTTTCGTGCAAGCCGCTACGACGGGAATTTGTGCCGCCAGGGCGGAGCCGTTGCATCGGGGTGGTACCGTTGTGGCGGGACAGTCGCGATTTAAGTCCAAAATAAACCCAAAACGTCTTTATTTTGCAAGTTTCGACTTTGAGAGCTAGGAGACGACCCCATGCTTTCTTGTCAGTTTTCCACTATTCTTGAGGCTAAAGGTAAGGTTTTTACTCCCCAAATCCATGTTTCGATCCGTAGAATGTAAATTTGTGGGTAATTATCGATGGGAGAGGGTTTTGATATGGGAATTATGGTGGAAAAAGCCCTAATCTGGGTATGGGGATCAAGGGTTGATATTATTGATTATGATCCGAGTAATTGGGTCTTGTTTGTTGATCCTTGTGTTAATTGTATGTTTTTAGACCACGAACAAGCGAGAAGAATCCGAAAAGGGAAGATTCAAGTGTCTCAGGGGATTTAAGCTTGGATTTGAGGTAGGTGATAGTTGTGATTTCATGTTGGTGTGATATATATTTGCAATTACTACATTATGATGCATGTATGTATGCGAATGTTGCGTTATTGATCACACTACTCGTAAATAATGTTGATTGAATAATTGTATGCCATGAAATTATGAATTGATTGTATGATTATGAGAATGTACATTGTGATTGTGGCTTGTTGAATGAGATCGATTGCCACGTTTTGACATAAAAATGGGATCGGTTGCCACGTTTCGACATAAACATGGGATCGAGAGTCACGTCCGGCATACTAACTTGGATCGGGTACCACGAACCGATACACAAACAGTTTGGGTTTGGGTTCCATGAGAGGACCATTGAATTGGTTCCATGAGAGGACCATTGACTTGACATAACCGTATATCTTGAGAATTGTGAAATTGTGCAATAACTGTCGTGGCTGGCTGGAAAATTTGGCAACGCAAGTAATTAATCGGGTTGATTTCTCGTATAATCACTTAATTAGTTTTGTTTAAAGTTTGTCTTGAGATTGTATGATGTGTAGTTGAAGTTCTACCCAAACTTTCCTTATGTTTTGTACTATTTTTATTTTCCTTTCGAGGTGTGTATGGTATGGAGGTACATCTTTTGGTAAATGATCAATTACTCTAAATCAAACTTCCATTTACATGTATTCACACAAACAAAGGTAAGAAGTGTAAATAATACAAGAAGGGAATGTAAGTCAAGAAAAGCTATAATTGTGTTGATATTGTCATTGAAATCAAGAGAAAATTATCAATAGTCCTTAATGTATGGATAATGATTTATCTTGATTCTTAATATATCTCACTTGATTGAAATGCTCCTAAATGTATATAGTAAAAAGTGTTTGTTTTGGGTCATTTATCCTAAACCTAACATGATTTATCAACTAAAAGTGTTAAATTTAACACATGATTAATAAAATTCACCATTGTTATCTTCTTTGTAAACTTCAAAAAAAAACTCCACGAAATCTAACACCACTATTTATACTTTTTCTAAGACAATCTACTGTTTTTTTCTTGTTCAAAACAGAAATATTTGTCATACATTAAGGATAATTTCAATTAAGTAAAATATATTAATGACCGAAATAAATAATTCTATGATACATTAAGGACCATTTTAATTAAATAAAATATATTAAGGACCAAAATAAATCATTACCCATACATTCAGAATCCTTTTTTTGATAGAAATTAAATTGACAAACCACAAGGATAAAAAGAAAAAGGCAATTTTTATTCCCAAAAACCAAAAAAGTATAGTGCAAGCAATTTTACTTTACTCACTTTGCCCTATGCGTCTATACTTTTCTTCCACTAATAAAGCTGGTCCTTATAAAATGAAAAGAATAATGTGTCATCTCTCATCGTACTACTTTAGATCTTTAATTGTAAAGTAAAAGATATTATTAATAAAAGTTTGTTGTCCAGTTCCATTGTTTAAAAAAAAAAATTAAATTAAAGGCATATTTTATTAAATTATTTTTTAATAATATATTCAAACCCTAACTTATATTTGATTATATAATATGAAGTTAAGATTTTAAATTAGTATTTGAATATTCGATTTGAGATAATATTTAAATTTTAAATTCTCAAAAAAAAAAGATTTAGAGTCCAAATCAGTTATAATTAATCCCCAATGGTATAATCTCATTCTCTCCCAAAATCAAACTCTCTTTTTCTTCCTCTTTTTCTCAATTTTCAATTGTATATTCCTTCATTCTCTCTCAAATCAGCTTAAAACTTGAATTTACTTGTCAAAACATTCAACTGTAGTATCAATTTCGAAAAAGATTGAAGCTTTAGAGCTTGTAATTTCTCCGATTTTATAGTTAGGGTTCAAAAATTGTTCTTCAAATTCATCGTTTTTTGCTTTGCTAGGATAAATAATGACAAATGCGGACTTGAATAAGCTTTCATAGTTAGAGTTCAAAAATTGTTCTTCAAATTCAATTGGAACGAAATCTCATATCATGAAGAGAATGGGGGTGAATATGGAGTGATTGAAAAAAGGTTAGGGTTTAGTGAAAGAAAGAGGAAAATGAAAAGATTAAGGGAAATTTTAGAGTTATGGGGTCTATTCAATACTTGGCCGCGTGTAAACAAATATTTTATTATATCTGGTTTATATGGACATGTTAGCAAATAAGAATGAGATAATATGTAAAAAAAAATGTTCAGGGTGGTAATAGGACCCCCGTGAAGTATGAGTGTGTAGTTGGGAATCTGGCTATAGGTTGGGGATCCTTTAGGCCATTTTCTCATAATCCAATTTAACTTTGAGAACTAGTTAAATTGACTTTCGAAAAGCGCAACATAACAATTAAAAGTGGATTGTTGGAGTAATACTTGTTCAGTTTATAAAAATCAATGAATAATTTATTATTTAATGTCTATTTTACCCATGCTATTATATACTATTCACTTTTTAATGTTTAGATGACTTATATTTAATGAGGATGATTTAGTAATATTATCTCTATCATTTACTGCTTCTTATTTTACATGTCAAGTCAATGATAAACAAATATTATTGAATTGGCACATAAAATCTAATCCTTATTTTCCACAAAATGGTGCAACTACAAAAACTATTACTCCCTCCGTTTCACCAAGAATGACATGGTTTGACTTGACACGGAGTTTAAGTAAATAAAAAAGACTTTTGAATCTTGTGGTCCTAAATTAAAGTTATGTCAAATGTACAAAATTGTCCTTAATCTTGTGGTCTTTAACATGCCACGTGGAAAGTAAAAATTAAAATGTTACCAAAAAAGGAAAGAGGTCATTCTTTTTGAAACTGACTAAAAAGGAAATGAGGTCATTCTTTGTGAAACAGAGGAAGTACAATCTTTGTGAACACACACTTCAATTCTATAATTTGAAAAAATAGATAAATCTAATTCAATCGATAAATTCATCTCAAAAGTAAACTGCTCCGTTATAACTATTTCTATACTTATATCGACTCGAGGAACCGAAATATTGATAATCATTTTGCTCTTCAGTTGCTTAAGTCACATGGATGAATTCTATGAACCTTCTACCCTATTCTAGAAAAAGTATAAATAAGGTCATTTATGTCATTAGCTATGTAAATATTCTTTTTTTTTTTTCTTTTCATTTTATTTTTAACAGTTAGTTACACATTCTGTTACATATAACATCATTCCTCTCTACAAAATAAATACACAGAGAACAAAAAAATTCAACAATTATCCGATCATCGAGAAGAACAAAAGAATCAACAATGAGTATTCCATTTCCATCATCGATTGATTTGAGTTCAAAAGATGAAACGATTATCACAGTTCAACAACTGAAAATGCAATTTCTCGGCACCAGAAAAGGGGATCTGGACACCATAGAATCCTATGTGAAAATTTTTAAATCAATAGCCGATTCTCTATCCGCTAACGACAATCCTTTATCAGATTCAGATTTGGTACTGCAACTTCTCGCCGGTTTGCCGTCATCTCAATACTCGCCTTACCAGAAAAGAATCTCATCGCAGTTGCCTCTACCTGATTTTTCAGGTGCTTGTTCTTTGCTTTACATGTACGAATCATTATTGCAAGAGCAAAATGTAAATCATACTTCGGAAGATGAAAATTATAGTATTAAAGAAATGTTTGATAAGATTGTTGGTGTGTTTTATACGGTAAGTAGTGTGGTTGCAACAGTAACGGATATATTGAGTATGTTTGGAAGAACATCTACAATGGCAAGTACTACAGGAAACAGAAAAAATACAAAAAGACGTAATCGAGGAAGGGGGAGGAGGTAGAAATTTGTTTCGAGTTTTCGAATCTAAGAAGATATTAGAAGATGTAATCTAAGTATTGGGTTGCTCTGTTCAAGAGTTTTTTGTTGTTGTTGTTGTGATTTTTCATTTTATGTAAAGTAAGAGTGGAGTGTTTTACTAATTACGTAGTGTTCTTCTTGGATCATATGCGACTGAATATGGTATCGAACATTTGCAGACTTCATTTCGGGTGTTTAGTGGCCGGATAAGAAACATTTGTTCGATATGGAAATAAGTTATTCGTATATAAAATTAATTTCATATTTATTGAAAATAATATTTTTTTGGATAAACTATTAACTGATATATTTTTATTCAAATTTACATAATTTAATGATTATTTTGATAATTTTTTATTTTTAAAATTTAATTTCAAAATATAGCCATTTTGACTCCAACAATCAAATTTTAAAAGACAAATAGGAAGAAACCACACATAATTAATTAAGGAGCATGTTGTAAATTATTTTACCAGAGTAAGTATTTGCTTTTGTTTCATCTTCTTTGCAATTCAACCAACCTACGTGTTGGTCATTTCCAATCACATTTAAAGGATAACCTCAAATCAAGTGAAGCACTTTCCAAGAACCACTAACCAGGGACTTGGAACAGAGAGACTAAGGGGTCGTTTGGTTTGAAAATGAGTTATGATGGGATAAGTTATATTGTGATAAGTTATGTTGGGATTAGTTATGATGGGATAAGTTGTGTTGGGATTATTTTTTATTGAGTGTTTGGTTTGTTGTATTCAAAATAATAAATTTTAAGAACAATTTATTTGTTTACAAAAATGCCCTTCATTAATGTAAAAAGTGATATAACAAAAGGGTTGAAAGAGACATTTTTGTCATTTACCTATTTTATCCCGGGATAAGTTACCCCGGGATTACTATACCACCCAAGGAGAGGGATAACTTATCCCGGTACTAATTATTAATCCCGGGATAAGTTATCCCGAACTTGCCAACCAAACAACAAAATAAGCGGTACTATAATTTAATCCCGGGACTATTTGTTATTATACCTCACACCAAACGAGCCCTAAGAATTAAGTCCCGAGAATAGCACCACTTTAGTACTCCCTCCATTTCAAAAATAATGGTCTAGTTTAATTTGACACAAAATTTAAAAAAATAAAGAAGATTTTTGAATCTTGTGATTCTAAATTAAAGTTATATCAAATGTACAAAAGTGACCTTTAATCTTGTGGTCTTAAGCATGTTATGAAGAAAGTCGAAATTAAAATGTTATCAAAAAAAGAAAGAGATCATTCTTTTTTAAACTGACTAAAAAGAAAAGGAAGTCATTCTTTTTTAAACGGAGAGAGTATGTTTTTAAAAAATTATATGACAATTGATGGTGGTGATGACTAACAATAATGATTGTGTGTCAATTCTGAATGGTGCTAACTGAGGATAGTATCTTATGGTATAACGGTGGACAATAATGATAAACCATAGTTGTTGTTGGTGACGGCTAATATATAGTAATGGAATGATATTAATAGCTAATTGGAATAGTGAATTTTTTAAAAGAGTTAAACAGAGTGGAGTTGAGATTAATAGGACAGGATAAGATAGAAGAAACACAAATTACTAAATAGAACAAGACAAAGCAGGTTGAGTTTGTGACAGGACAAGACTTCACCAATTATTAATTTATCATAACACTTGTTTATCACTCTTTCAATTAAGAAATTTTCAAGACCCACCAATTGTTTCAACGGGGCCCAATCTCAACTAACTTAATAGAATAAAGGGAAAATGGTCAAATATGCCCCTAAACTATTCGAAAAGGTCTAGATATATCTATCGTTTAAAGTTTGACTCACTCATACCCTCGTAGTCCAACTTTTCATCTAGATATGCCCTTATGGGCGTTAAATGTCAAATGGAATTGCCACGTCATTTTTACATTACCACGTGACATTTATATTAAAGGAAAAAGGGTCAAATATACCCCTAAACTAATCGAAAAGGTCTAGATATACCCCTTTTTAAATAAACCACCCGACCCGTTTTCAACAATTTTTTAAATTTTTTTATTTTTTTTGGTAAATCCCGAAAATGAGTAATTGACTATTAAAAAATAGAAAAAATATGAAAAAAAATAATAAAATTAACGCCAAAAATCCACAAATAAATATAGTAACCTTAATTCAACAATTTTTTAAAATTTTTATTTTTTTTCGATAATCACGAAAATGAGTAATTGATTAATAAAAAATATAAAAATGTGAAAATGACTTTATGCTGAATTTTTAGGTTATATTTCTCATATTTTTTATTAATCAATTACTCATTTTAGGGACTTATCGAAAAAAATATAAATTTTAAAAAAATGTTGAAATTGTTGAATTTAAGGTTACTATATTTATTTGTGAATTTTTGGCGTTAATTTTTTATATTTTTTTTCATATTTTTTCTATTTTTTATTAATCAATTACTCATTTTCGGAATTTACCGAAATTTTTTTGTTGAAAACGGGTCGGGTAGTTTATTTAAAAGGGGGTATATCTAGACCTTTTCGAATAGTTTAGGGGTATATTTGACCCTTTTTCCCTTTAATATAAATGTCATGTGGTAATGTAAAAATGACGTGGCAATTCCATTTGGCATTTAACGCCCATAAGGGCATATCTAGACGAAAAGTTGGACGGCGAGGGCACGAGTGAGCCAAACTTTAAACGGGGGTATATCTAGACCTTTTCGAATAGTTTAAGGGCATATTTGACCCTTTTCCCTAGAATAAATAGAACAACCTATAACATTGGCTCCATACGATTTCATTAAAGACAAAAAAATCACTAGTATTTTATAATCTATTTTTCTTATTAGTTTATTTTAACTTTATCTTTCACGATTATAAAATTAAAAGACATTTTAATATATTTGATATATTTTTAATTTTAGATTATAAGATTCAATTCTTTTATATATATATATATATATATATATATATATATATATATATATATATATATATATATATTTTATGACTGTGGTCTATGGTGTTTGGACGACTTTTTGAGCACCCCTACTAATTTCAAGGATACATGTTCCCACCAATGACATGCATTAAAGTAATTTTGTCTACCTCCGTTGAGAATTGAACCCGAAACTGCATAATTTTCAATCATTTCATTGATCACTAGATAGTATTCTTGAATACTTTTTATTTTTTTAAACTTCGTATTAATAGAATAGGTCAAACAAATTTAAACAATGGAAGTATGATTAGTAGACTCTATTGTGGTCTTCCTTTGTATATTTAAGGACGAAGCTTCACTTCAATTATTAAACTAAAGTTGATGGGACTGCAATTGATCTTAATCCATTTTTTTTTCCTTTTTATCTTTTGGTTAGTGCTCTTTCAATTATTCCTTTAAATATATAATAAAATAATTGCCTTGTTGTTAAGAATAATTTTTGCCCTTTTCTGTGTAGCAAAGGGTTACTTTAATTTTGAAGTGAAAAATTTCAAATTCTAAAGCAAATTTACCCGGTCATCGACAAGAAGACAAAGAAATCGAATAAATCGTAACATTCGTAATAATCAATTTTTATTAGATTCCAAAAGTGAAAATAAAAATAAAAACTCCTAAGTTAATTTGTAGACCTCTGTTGTGGTCTTCTTTTTATATTAGGAGCTAAGCTTCACTTAAATTATTATTAAGCTAAAGTTGATGGGGACTGAAATTATGGGTATAAGAAATCGATCGAATCTAATTATATTAAATTAATTTATATTATTTTTTAAATAATATTGTGGATTTTTATTTTAGTAAATAATTGTCTCGAACAATTGGGATGATCTTTTTAATTTATAATAAAATTGGAAAAAATTCTCGAACTGAAATGAATAACTTACATGTAAATATATTTTAATTACTAACAATATGTATAATTTATTATATAAATATATTTTATAACATTTTTCAAATATAAATATAACTTAGGTCCTAGATACTATAATAGATACTCTATCAGACAATACAGTAAAACCTATGCATGCAAGTAGTCCTATTAAATATTTATGATCAAACAATAAGGTAACAAGGTTTTACATTTTTAACATCTTGGTGAAGAATTGAAGTGATTCATCAAAAACATACTTGTGAAAGAAATATTTTAATAATAGGATATTTTGAGGTGATACTTTAAAAGTAAAAAATATAAACTCTTTCTTTTTTGCAAACCCCAAATCTTGCGGAAAAAAATTCAAAAATTAACTGAATCGTATTAATACCAAAGAAAAATCAATATGATTAAAATGAATTTAGAAAATCTAGTTATAATTATACATTATAAAATACCCAAAAAAATTGAGATGATATAATTTTTTTAAAATAACAAATTGAACCACCCCTTTTGACATCCCAAAGTGCAATTGATCTTAATTCATTTATCAACAATTTTCCCCTTTTTATTAGTGCTCTTTCAATTATTTCTTTCTAGTTGTCACTTTATTTTTGAAGTGAAAATTTTCAAATTAATTAAATTTTAAAGCAAGTATCAATTATCGATAAGAAATCAAATAAATCATAACATTTGTAATAGTTGATTTTATCAAGATTTTATTGGATTTCAAAAGAAATAATATTCGTAATGATCCATTTTACGAAGATTTGATTGAATTTTGAAAGTAGAAATAAACAAAGAAAAGACAGTAAAAATTATTACTTATAGCAACTTGGGAGGCCCCTCCCGGCTACTTTCCTTCGTCATAAAGAAATGGTAGGAAGGCATAACTAATACTCCTCTATTCATTTTTATTTGTCGTATGGTGCTTTTAAAAAAATAATTTGACTAATTTTTAAAGTTAAATTAGATTATATTATATTTGTTAATTTTTTTTTTTTAAAAAATTAGATATTCAAAATCTACACGAAAAGTACTATAAATTACAATTTTTTACATATTAGTTTGATGAAAAAATACATTATAAAATGTTAGTCAAATTTTTTATAGTTTGACTCTAAAAAAATGAAACTATGACAATTAAAAGTTGACGGAAGTAGTACTATATATACTATAAATAAATATAGGTGAGGTTTTAATTGCCAATTTAGGTTTAAGTTGAATGCCCCTTCTTTAACAAAGTTTCAATTTATGTGATATT